CGCCCCCAGTTTATAAGGGGATCATTGTCGTGCACAGCTCACAACAGCCCTGGGGCTAACCCACAATGGGGCAGTTTCTTAAGGATTTCAGAGTCAGAGATAGGAAACTCAGAGGGCTTGTTTTCTAGTTTTACAAAATAATTTGCTGAGCCTAAGGGTCTCACCCTTAGGGTCTGTTCTGTTAGCGGGAGCAAGGCTTTGAGCAAGGCCCTGATGTCCCAGTCATGATCAGTGAGGTTTGAGTTTTAAATCTCTGTTTATTCAGGAGCAAGGTGTTAGAGGGGAGTGCCAAAACCTGAAAGCTACTGTGAGGGAGTATGGTTAGTTTCTGCCCTTGTTTTCTCTGGTATTTGTTCCTAATTCATTTAGTTTGGGAGGAAGTACTGAGAAGGGGCACTGTCTGTACGAGCAAATCCTCAAGGCACTCATAAGAGTGATTTCCATAATAAATGTACTATATTTAACAAGTGACAAGTTCCTGTTTTGTCCCAGCCATTCTTCTAGATACTAGGACTGTATCTTGGGACTGAACAAAGTCCTGCACTTGTGGACCTTCCCTCCTCATAAGGGAAGCGAGCCAGACAGTTACTGTTTGGGGGAGTGGAAGTGCTGGGGAGAGAAACCTGGTAAGGAGAAGGCCTTGCAGATAAGGTAACACTTGAGCAAGGCCTGAAGGAACAGGGACGCTAAGGTGGGTGTTTACGGGAGTGGTTTCCTACAGAAAGGGAACAACAAAGGGCAGTGTCAAGGCACAAGTTACTGGTGGGCTGGAGCTGAGAGGGAGAAGGAAAGTTGTCAGAGGTGAGTCAGAGACTTAGCTGAGACCACGACCATGCTTGGCTTCCTGACACTTGAAAAGCACTACGGTCTGAACATTTGTCTCTCCCCAGATTTAGACTGTGAAACGCTAATTTCTAAGGTGAGGGTATTAAAAGATGGGGCCTTTGGGGGGATGATTAGGTCATAAGGGTGGAGCCCTTTAAATGAAGCCAGTGCCCTTGTGAAGGAGGCCAAGGCAGTGGTCTTGCCCTCCGTCATGCGAGGACTCTGGGAAGGTACCAGCTGTGGACAAGACAGCACACCTGAGCACACACTGAATGTGTCTTGATCTTGGGCCTATCAGCCTGGGAGTAGTGAATTTCTGTTGTTTATAAGCTGGTCGGTTTATGATATTTTGTTTTAGCAGCCCAAAGACAAAGCAGCTTTGCTTTTTACTCTGGGATGGGAAGCCATTAGAGGCTTAAAGTCTTAAAAAGATGACTCTGGCCACTTTATGGAGAAGGAAATGAAGGGTCAAAAGCATAAGAGACTTTCTAAGAGGCTTTTCATTAAGGGCAGATTCTGGATATATTTTGAGACAGGGCTAGTAGGTTTTGTTGCTTGGTTGGATGTTGGGTGTGAAAGAAAAGATTTTTTTCTAGAACAGTTCCAGGAATGGAGCTGTCATTTACAGAGATGGAGAAAACTGGGGTCCACGGAGTTTCTGACTTGCCTAATAGTTGTAGGAATAAGCTCTGGAGATTCATTGGAGAAGATGGTTAACTTAGTCGTTGGTTCCTTAGTTTCCCTTCATGCTGACAGCCTCATTTGTATTTGGGTCAGTAGTACCACAGTTATTTATTTACTTATTTGATCAGTGTGATACTAGCATATAAACTTCGGGGTGCTTACCTAGTGTCTTGGTTACTTTTCTCTCGCCGGGACAAAATATCTGACGCCCAAAATTTAGGAAGGAAAGGTTTATTTAGCTCACAGTTTGTGGAGGTTTCAGTCCATACTTAGCAGGTTACAAGGCAGAGTGGCACATGGCAGGGCTACAGCTCATGGCGGCAGAACACAGCAAAGCAACAAGCACAAAAGCCAGGAATGGCTGCAAGCAGCCTCTTCCTCTCCCTTACATATGCAAACTATCCACCCCAGGGTGGGGTGTAGCTCTCACACTCATAATCAGTCAAACTCTAAAAGCCTGCCCTATGACTGCATGAGGCTTTGGGGGGACACCCAGACACAAACCATAACACCTAGGCTTCTGCAGTTCATTGTGTGGTCAGAGCTACAGCAGGGTAGGATCCTTTGGGTCCAGAGGAGCCTTGGGATAGATTCTGTAACTAAGGCTACTCCTCGTTTCTGAGGCTGTGTTGGTTTCTACCTGCGTAACAAGTTACCCAAAGAGGTAGCTTAAAACAACACAGATTTCTTCTCTTAGAGTTCTGGAGTCTAAACTCAATGTGTTACAGGGCATGTTCCCTCTGGTCTAGGGAAGATGTCTTCATTGCTTCTTCTAGCTTTATCTCATAGATAAAGCTCAACAGTCTCTGCCTTGGTCAACTCAGTGTTCATGTGTGTGTGCATGCGTGTGTGTCCCTGTCTTCACGTGGCCTTCTTTTAAGGATATTAAACATTGGATTTGGGTCCACTCTTCCCAGTGTGACCTCAGTTGAACTTGTTTACTTATGCAAAGACCCCCTTTCCAACTAATGTCTTGTTTATAGGTTCCAGGGATTAGAACTTAAACATATTTTTTGTGAAGAACAGCTCAGCCAGTTTCAGGTGCTTGGCCTGGCTTCTGCTCTCAGAGTCTTGTAGGCTTAGATGTGTTTGGAAACAAGGAGGAACTATTAAAATGATTAGAAAACAGGTCTCACTATGCTCTGGGTGCCTGTCTGTGGGAACTGTTTTTTGTTTTTGTCTTTTTTAGAATTATCCATTACATTTAAATAAATTAAAGACTTAAAAATAGATTGTTCAGAGCCAGGGATATAGTTCAGCAGTACAAGTGCCTGCCTGGCAAGTGCCAGGTCCTGAGTTCAATTTCCAGTAACCCCCGCCCCCCCCCCCAAAAGCCAAAAATACATTGTTTATTTGCAGTGGGTTTTTTGTTGTTGTTTTTTTTTGTTTTTTTTTTTTTTGTTTTTTTTGGTACTGGGAATTGAATTCAGAGCCTTGCACTTGCCAGGCAGGCATTGTGCCACTGAGCTACATCCCTGGTCCTGTGTTCTATTTTAAAAGTTGAAGACTTTAGAATATGCAAGTGGGCCAGGGATATAGCTCAGCAGCACAGCGCCTGCCTGGCAAGTGCAAGGTCCTGAGTTCAAGTCCCGGTACCTTAAGAAAAAAAAAGAGAATATGCAAGTGACTTTAGACTGTGAAAGTAGAAGGTAGAATAGATTTTACTGGGTCAAGAATTTTTAAGGCTGAGAATGACATCTGAATTTGGCCAGCAGCCTGGCTATTATGGCAGAGAGGCCCTTGCTGCTTATGCTCCAACTTTATGGTTTTGCCAGTAAACTGGCAGAGATGAAATGCAGCGGAGCTCAGTCCTTGGGCACTGGGTATGGCAGGGAAGAACCTGCCTCCTCCACCAGCCAAGCCCTTAACTTCCCATGGGCCTGGGCCCAAAAGGTACCCAGGTGGTGTGCGACACTATCTGGCTGTTGCCCCCCCTTCCATGCAACACCCAGTACATGTACATTCTTCAGTGGTGTGTCAGTGCATACCTCTTTTTTACTCACAAGTAAAGTCTAAGGGTTGTTTATCAAAGGAAGTTCAAGTTCCCACTTTGCTATCACAATGATAGGATTATATCAGGGTTAGCAATGTAATAAAAACAAAATTCCTTAGCAACAGTGTATCCTTGAGGCCACTGAATTGTTACTGTAGTCACCATGAGTTTTATGGAGTTCCTGCTGTGTTGTAAGGAAGTGTGTGCAAATTGGCAGATAGGAGACAAGTAAAGAGATAGGGCTCTTTCTAGCCGTAAGGAAATTTGGGAAGGAGAGGAGGCAGAGGTTTCCATGAGAACTGATAAAGATTTATGTCTTGCCTGTGATATTTGGTGCCTGCATGGAAAAGCCTGAGAGTGTGTCATTTAGTACCTGTGTGGACAGAGAATGGGAGAAGTTAAAGGCAGGCGACATGTACACAGGCACCAGAGAGATTTAATAATGAAGGCCATAAGGGTGTCATTTCGATTTTCCCACCTCAGTGCTGGCAATAGCAGCCCGGTTGTGCAGCCCACCTCCCCTCGCTTCCTGGGTCATATGGCACTTGGGTGAAGGGGAGTCAGTGGAGAGAAGGGCACTGGTGGCACCTGGGCTCCCTGGGCCAGGCTGCACATTACTGCTCCAGTGTGGTTCCGTCATCACAGGCACCGTGGGAGAGGGTACTTTTCAGTGTTCCTTCAGGACATGAATAGTGTTCTTCTAAAAGAGAGCCTTGCTTTCATGTCTGCTCAGTGGGAATATAGCCACAGCTATGTCCTCGAGGCAGGGGCCAGTGTGGTAAAGCCACCATACTTCTAGGGTGAGCGTAGGACAATTTATGCACACACATCATTTCCTTTGACTAATCTTTTGTAATTCTGATTCCAGTGTGGCTTCTGAAAGTCGTTCATTTTGACTAAGTTGAGATTTTTAACTTAGGACCCAGCTGGGGCAGGAGGTAAACTTCCAAAAAGGTCTACTTTACTCGCTGTGTCACTGTCCTGGCAGCACTGGTTTCATTAGAAAAGCAGATTCCACCCTGACTCATCTGCCTCAGTGAGACGAGTGATCCAATTCACAGCGCTCATGGCAGCCTACGGCTTGCTGGACTGACCAGTGTATACTGTCCGCTCTGCAGCCTGGTGACCAGGGCGCCTGGCCGAGGCCATGAAAAACCTTAAAAAGAGACAGTCTGTTATGAGGCAGGAGCTTTGTCCGGGAATTTCCTGGCCTTTGTCGGGTGTAACTTCATGTACCAAGATGCCTGTTTTTTTAAAGGCCACTTCCTGCTAGAGGAAGAGAGCTACTGCCTGCCTTCCACAGAGGACTTCTGCTGTCTGCACCAGGGGACCTCCTGCCTTTGTCCACTGGTCAGCCCAGGTGTGGCAGGTGTGTGTTACTGGCTTCCAGTTGACACTATGTCCCTGGAAGTCACTGATCAGAGATGACATACCTTGTGCACATAAAAGCTGCATCACCAACCTCACATGTTCTAAACCTGTCTTTCTCACATTGCAGCAGAAAAAGTCCTACCTGGAGCGCAGCGTTAAGGAAGCTGAGGATAACATCCGGGAGATGCTGATGGCACGAAGGGCACAGTGATCCTCTAGGGGACACTCTCCCTTTAGACCCCTCTCATCTTGGCAAGGGCAGCAGGACCTGCACGGGGTGGCAGCCTCCCTCTACTCAGATGGACATTTTATCTGGTTGGGCCAGCAACCAGCCCCACATCTTCTGTATTGCCCTGAGCCACTTTCAGGTCCCACCCTGTATATTCCCCCCAGCTTTGCCTGCCCTGGAAGCTCCTCTTTCCTGTGATGATCCAGGAACTCCCAGGAGAGGGAGGACGGGAGCCAGGGCCTACGGATATGTTCTGCCTGATCGGCCACTAGGTACAGGCCAATAAAGGGTTTGTCTTACTCTGCTGAGTCTGTTTTTATTGCTACCAGGATGAGAAGAGAGGGCACAGCTGGTAGTGGGACTACCCTTAGCTCCTGCTCCCTTGTGCTAGAGCCAGCTTCCCCTTGGGGAGTTGGGTCTTGCGCTCTTCCTTTTCTGGTCTGACTGATCCCCGGACTTCTGGGCCTCCAAGTACTACAGAGAGGGAATTCACAGCCGAAGCGTTCGGCCAGCTGTGCTGTGGAGTCAGCCTCCAGACTCCTTTCCTTGCTTTCTCCCAGGCAAGCCACAAGTTCGGTAGCCAGCAGCACCTGCACGGCTGTCTCCTTTGGCCAGTGTCACAAGATTGATCCTGAGGTTTCTTGCAGGCTTAGGGGCAGTAGTGTGCTGGAGCTGGCTTATCGCGCTTAGGACAGCCGATTATTTGTCAGGAATTTTGTTGCAAGACACTTGTTGTACACAGCCATTGTGGTTTTTTTTTCCTGTTGCTGGGCAGGGATTGAATCCAGGGCCTTGTCTGTGCAAGACAAGTGCTCTGTGGCGGAGCCACGTCCCCTGCAAACACAGCCATTGTTAAAATTACATAGTATGCACGAGGCCCTGGGTTCAGACCCCAGTGCCATAAAAATAAACAAAAAGCCTGAAGTATGCAAACTTGGAAATTTTATCCCTTCCTAGTTATTTTTTTGTATGTGGCCACTATGTGTGTGCCTAAGGTTAGGCTTCAGTCCCTGTGCCTGGGCGGTGGGAGCATTCCATGGTGTGCTTCTGCGTCATGGTATGTGGGAACTTACACCACAGAGGAGATGCTACCAGATCATAGCTTTTTTTCTTTTAAAGAGTGAAGACTGGTAGCACAGCACTGCTTTGAAGGGTGGCAGGTGGAGGTCAGGTGGGAGCTGCCAGCCACAGCCTCTGGCCTGCTAGGCGGGTCTGTTGAAGGAGCAAATCTGACTTGCACTATGTAGCTCAACGCCACCCCGTGGCCAAAGGTGAGATGAGCGGCATGGCTGACTAGGTCGGGGCTGGGAGCAGGGAAGACTTGGGTCTGTCTCCACGACTTGGGGTCCTGGGTTTCCAGAGGAGCCTGGGTTACCCTTCCTTCACTAAGAGGCCCCTTTTGGAGGCTGTGGGCAAATACATGTCTGAGTTACACTGATGAATGCTCTTGCTGGTGCTCATCTCGGAGGGAGACTGGGATTAAAGGACACCCTGCTTCGAGCTTGCCTTCCTCACGGCAGCCACACTGTTGGTGCAGGAGCCAGAAAGAAAAGGTGAAGAGGCTCCTCAGGCACTGAGCAATAGGCGTGAGCCGAGGTACCTACACTGTACAGGTCTTAGTGAGCAGATGAGTACTTAGAAGTGGAAAGAATTCAGGAGGCAAGAAGCACAGACCCAGACGCTCAGATGATCCCCAAGAATTTAGACAGCTGAATTTTGGGCAGATTTATTGAAACATACAGGGTCTGAGCAAAGAAATCATTCAGTGGTGTCTTACACCTTGCCATTACCTTGAATGTATAATTTTAAAATTATAAATATATATTTTATAACTAAGCCTTTGGCCAAAAAAATACAAGGAAAGTCATTTAGCACTTTTGTTACAGATCAATAAGAAATGGATTTTGAACATTAAAAAGATCAAGTCACTGAATTAAACAGCAGCAACCATCACTAATCTATAGATTCCCAGTGTTGAAAGTAGAGGTGCCTGTGCGGAGCTAGTCATTTATTACAGCAATCAGAAGAGACGGGGGCAGGACACCTGTGGGACGTGGTGGCAGAGCTGGCACGGCAGGAGGGCTGGCCAATCAGGTGAGCATGTCCCAAAGGCAGCAGCAACAGAGAGCAGTCCAGCAGGCCGTGAGGCAGGTGGATGGACCCAGGTCATCTCTTCTTTGGTCTTCTACCACATACACTGAAGGAGAGAGGGGCAGGGTGAGAATAAGCTGGTGCAAACCTTGGCCCTACACAGCCTCTCTGGGGGCAAGGAGGGCTGCTGCAGGCAAGAGCCATGAATCAGCCTGGGTGCAGCCTCTCTGCTCTGGCTGCTGCTGCAGATCCATAGAGGAAGGATGGCTTAGCTCAGCAAGTGCTTTCCTTCCTCCTCTTGCCACTCCAGACTGGACCGTCACATCCCACAGGAATGCGCACTGGGGAAAGTACAGAATGGCCCATGTCAAGGTGGAGCAGATGAGCCGTCAATGGTTGCTAAAGCAGGGAGCATTATGTTCTCTGCCCTCCAAGGGGATGGTGGGGGCACACGTCTTGAAAGACAGCTAAGCCACCACCAAGAGTGCAAGGAAGAGGCACTACTATCTCAAAAGGGGCTTGAGGACCCAAAGGAGGAACCCTGTTTTTCTCATACCTGGGCAACACACAATTGCAGAATCTGCCCCAAATTCTATCTACATTGTGACATAAGACATGAAAGCAGCGGGGAGGAAAGCCTGGGAAGGGGGATAGATGGCGAGCTGTGGGGCGTCATCTCCCAGGCAGGCGCTCTGCTTCTCAGAATGGAGACGGAAATCGTGAACGCTACGCAGACCCACGGGTGAAGAGAGAACCCACTACACCCTTCGGTTGCAAACTGATGTGCAGGCGTGAGCTTCCCAGAAACATCTGTTGTCAGTAGCTGGAGGTCAACCTGGAGTCTTAAGAACCTCAAAACAGCATCATGGAACTCATAGGCAGTGAGGGATTCAAACTTTTTCAAAGCTCATGAGCACATGAGTCTTGAGAGTGAGACCAGTTATTTGGCAGTTTGCTCTCAGTTCTATTTTTTGTATTTTGTATCTATTTTTATATCTCTTGGCAACTGCTCCCTGGAGCTGGTGTTGTAGCTAGAATGCGCTGGCTCAGTAGGGAGCTTTCCAAACTCCACCCCTTGTGTCAATAGCGCTCCCTCTAGAGACCTTCCTTGTCCTTCTCTTGGGGCACAGGTTTTGTGTCTTGAGATAGGGTCTTGCCTAGTTGCCTCAAACTCTTGATCCTCCTGCCTCAGCCTCCAAATAGCTGGATTTACAGGTGTGTGCCAGTACGCCCAGTCTGAGGCAAAGGCTTAATCCCAGCTCACTTTCACTTGGCCCCCTTCAGCAACCCAGGCAAATGCAGCTGGGCGTGCGAGATGACCCACACCATGGAACCTTAGTCAGAGAGGAGAGGCTGACCTGTTTATTCTGAGGCTTTAATAAGGCACATTCTCAATTTCACCCTTGCCTGAGCCCTAGACAGCCTGCACTGACAGAGAACCGGAGGCTCGGGTTATCCTTTGGTCCAGCACACATGACCAGGCAGAGGCAGGGCAGAATTAGAACCCAGGCCTTCAAGACTAATACCTCTGGCAAACCAGGCCTGCTCAAGGCCAGTTGAGGTAGAAAATGGACAAGGAAGAAGTGCTCTTTTATGTCGAGTGAGACCCCACCCTTGGGTCACTAGAAGTAGGAAAGCCCAGGTAGAGGGATCTGCCCAGATGACCTGCCCATGTCCCTGGCTCTTTGGGTCCTGTGTAGGCTGCTTTAGAAGGGGAAACAACAGAGGACCACAGAGCTCCTTAAGCAACCCCATCCCCATGTTCTCCCTGCCAGCTCTGAGTAGTCACCTTGATCACACCCAGGCCTTTTCTGCACTCTGTTGCTGACAGGTCCCATGGTCTACCGGAAGTGCTCTCAAGTGTCAGGAGCAACCTGGGGCTTTCTGCATGGTGCCGCGCAGTCCTCACAATGGCCGCGTGTGACAGGCACTGGACACCATCTCCCCACTGCTTCTCAGGGACAGGGCTGAGGCAGCAGTCACGCCCTCTTCTGCTGGAACACTAAACCTTGAGTAGCTGAGCTGGGAAACAGACTAAACCCTCTGCCTATCTCCTCCAGCTCAGCCAAGGTGGTTCCTGTGGGTGCTCATTTCACATATTCTCAGAAACCTGAGAACTGGGGACTTGGACCTCATTGCTCCCAAGCAACACTGACAGAGGGTAGAAGTCGTGGGCAGCTACAGAACACAGACCTCACACCCGGGAGCAGTGCCACCAGGGACACAGGTGAGTGCCAGTGCCCCTCTAAACCCCGCACTTACTCCTGGGAGCACTGGGACTTCCCCCAGACACTCCCAGCTGCTGGGAGGATGAGGCTGCGGCCAAGGTAGAGTGGCCCGTGTTTACCTTGCTTTTCAAGTCACCCAAAGCAGAAGGTCACTGGCCATATTCATACCTCAGGCGGTGGGGCTCAGAAATGGCAAATCTTAGCAGCATCTTTTAGGTGCCCCACCTATCCCTGGGAGGAAGGTGCTTTGTCTCCAGAGGGTGAGCGCTGCATTGAGCTGCAAGGCCTTATCTCCATCCCAGGGCCCTGATCCACCCACAAGCCTTCAGTGCTCCTTGCCTTTTGTTCTGCCACTGTCCCTGTCATGACTTAGTGGAAGAATCTGAAAAAACTACACTACCCTACCTGGCCAGCCAATATGCACCTCATGGTGTCTGGGTCCTGGGCCTCATGGGTCCATGAAGCCAGAGTACTCAGTGTGCAGTATCTCAGCTGGCAGCCATAGTCACTAGACAGGAGCAGGGTCAGAGAAGGCTCTGATCTGGGGGCGCCACACCCAGGCCAGATGGGCAGTCCTGGCAGCTGCTTCCTCAACTGCCAAGCAGAGCATTAAAAGGGGGGCAGAGTCATGGCTTTTGTAAGATGATAAACTGTATACACAAACTGTACTATCTTTATAAATCAAATAGTGCTTTTAAATACAAGTTTTTAAATTTGTTTTTTGAGACTGGGTCTTGCTATGTAGTGCAGGCTGGCCTTGAACTCACAGTGATCCTCCTGTGATCCTCAGAGTGATCCTCACAGTGAACTCACAGTGATCCTCAGAGGCTCAGCCTCTGAGTGCTGGGGTTACAGGTGTGCACCACCATGCCGGGCTTTTTTTTTTTTTTTTTTTTTAAAGGAAGGGAAAAAGGAGAGGGATCAGAAGAACAGTGGGTAGCAGTGAAGCAGGTGGTGCCCTTCTGGGCAAGATCAGCAGTCAGTTCTTGGTCAGGGAAGAGGCTCTGGTGCTGTAGCGCGCCCCCCTGTGGCCAGCCTGAGAAAGGATGCAGGGCCCAAGATTTGCTACCATTCACATGGGCCAAGGCTACTAGTGGGCCATCACTATCTACTGTCTCAAACTACCCTATTCAGCCAGTGGTAGGGGCCACACAGGAAGGTACTGAAGGGACTCTATCCCTGGGGGACTATAGTTAGGGTGAGGGTCAGGTCCAGGGGTCCCTTCCCTGTCTCTCAATCTGTGAACACTCATTTGAAACAACCCTCAGTATCCTCAGCCCCAGCCCAGTGTGGAGTCTGCAGACCCCAGAGCTTTGCCACAAAGATGCAAGAGTTGAGGGAAGGGGCGGGGAGGGGAGAGCAAGCATGCAGGGAGAGAGTGTATGAGCCTGCAGGTAACCTGGACGCCCAGACCAGGCCACAGAGGCCCAGGGAACCCCCGCATCTCAGAGCACTTTTGGGAGGAGCTGAGCCATTCCTAGCAGTGGCATTTAGTCCCTTCTTGCCTTTGTGCTACAAGTGAAACACAGATGGGAGACCCTGAGAAGGATGTAGTCTCCTAACTGCTTGCCCACCCACAGAGCCCTGAGGTCTGCTCCAGGCCCAGCAGTGCCCACTGCAATGGTGGCCACCAGGCACACCCCGGGACCTATGACTGCCACACGCTACAACCCCACAGGTGCCATTCCCATGGGCTACCCAGGTTCTCGGCAGGCAGTGGGCAAGCAGACCAGGGCAGGGGCGACCCGCAGGAAATAAGAGCACAAGCCTTCTCAAGTAAAGGCTCCAGCTCTCCATCAGTCCGACATCTAAAACTCTCACTTGCTTAGCTCAGGCCTTTTAGATGATTAATCAGATGCGTGATATGGTAATAGAGCCTCATTAGCTCTTCCTTGTCTGTGCACACTTACTAGTGCATCCGCACAGTCCCAACCCGAGATAGCTGAGGAGAAGCAAGCATCACAAAGCGAGAGTCCCCAAGAGGGTCCTGCTGCCGGGGGGGGGGGGGGCTTTCCAGGAGCACCAGCAAGGAACTTCAACAAGGAGCAGGGAGGCAGCACCCTGTGCATCGTGGCCCAGACGTGGCACCCAGGGCTGGCCCTCAACTGTTAGGACCACTTACAGCTATAGCACTCCTGAGAAGTGCTGCCTTTGGGGAGAGCAGCTTTTCCAGGAGCTGGAAGACCTGTCATCTCAACTGCCCTCTCCCCATGCTGGGCATCTAGATCATCAGAGGCAGGCGGGCCAGCCAGCTTCCCAGGATCCAGGCACCACCAGAATAGCCATTCTACGCACAAACCAAGAGGAGGGAAGGACAGGGAAATCTTTTTCTTTTTTTCTTTTTTGTCTTTTTGAGACAGGGTCTCGCTATGCAGTTCAGGCTGGCCTTGAGTTCATTCTGTAGCCCAGGCTGGTCTTCAACTCGCAACGATCCTCCTGAGTGTTGGGATTACAGACTTGTACCACCATGTCTGGCCTAAATCTTTAAGCATTTTCAGAATAAAACCTCAAGACAAGGGGGCTCCTGTCCCTTATGCAGAAGTACAAAGGACACAACCTGCTAAGGCTTTAGTTCACCTCTTCTTGGATGTTTACATGCGGTGGGGTTGTTTACTACCCAGCAGGAAGAGGCTGCACTGCTGAAAACATCCTAAAGGCACCTGCTCAAGTCTGATAAGCACCAGGTAGGTATTTTGTGAGAGCATGGAGATGGCCAGGAACAGCAGGGACACCCAGGCAAACTTCCATCCTCCCAGGGTTATCTGGGCAGAGGAGGGTTCTATAGTTTGAACACTGGACTGGGAAGGTTAAGGCAGAAGGTTAGGAACCTTTGTCACTTTGCTCTTCCCTTACACCTGCTTTGGCCAGCTGCCTCGGCCTGCAGAGCTTATGCTGTCCCCAGCCTCGAGAGCCTCTTTCTGCACTACTCCTCAAACCACCTTCTGCAGCCTCTAGCTCTGGCCTCGGTCTTTTCTGTGATGCCGAGTCAAGAGAGACCAGGTCTCCCAGGTCCCTGTTCTGCCTGCTTCAGTGTGCCGAGATAAAGGCAGACCAGGCTGGCTGCTGCCCACCTCATTAATCACGCAGCCTGTAACTCTCCATAAAGAGCACCAGGGTTCACAATGGATTGCCTGGCAAGGGTGACAACCTGCTGACCTGTGTGTGGGCCTCTGTTCTAGGTCTCCCGAAGTACAGCTGCAACCATCCCGGGAGGAAAGTAGCTATTCTAGGGCCTAGACCAAGCCTGACAGGCTGATAAGGCCTACGGAGCTTCAAGGGAACGGGTCATCTAGATGAGCCCCAGGCCCACCCCTACCCCAGCTCAGCCACAAGGTAAGCTTGCACTTGAGCCCTCTCTACCTGCAACTCTATGAACAGAGATCGGTAGCATCTTTCTTCGATGAACAACAAAACTATACTGTACCTCTACAAACTGTGCCAGCCTGACAAGTACGGCTATATTGCCACCAACCTCTGGCCAAGTCCTCATCCTCTGACTGAAGCTGCTAGGATTGCTAGGAGACTGAGGGTTGTGGATACTGGAACAACTGAGAACTCAGAACCAGAGTGCAGAAGAAACTGCCTTGGAGCTCATACTGGCCAGTCTTACTCTGGGAAGGACAGCATGCTAAACTCGAAGGTCACATAGTGAGTTAAAGGCAGGTCATGACCTGTGTCACTTCACCTTCTGCTTCCTGGCCCAGGGCTCTCTGCACACTGAGATGGCTCACCTCAAACCAGACAGCAGCACGGCTGCATGGGCCTTAGGCTGTGGCTGTGTGTGGAGGGTATAAGGCTGCTTTCATTGTTTCATACGCCTGTTAACACTCCCTCTAAAGCCAGGGTCTGTGTGTGAAGTCACGGATGGACCTCTCTCTTGCAGAGCGCGTCCTGAAGAGGCTGGGCCCATCAGCCCGAACGACTGGGCCCAGCCATCATCTAGGAGATGGAGTGAATTCTGAAGTCGCCTGTGCCTGGCAGGTGGGTGCACTGGCTCAGAACAAGGCACCTGGTGGTTGGGGGTAGGGTGGGGAGCTGGGCCCTCAAGAGATCTACTTCCGACTTTCCTTCCCACCCACCCCCACCCCCACCCCCACTCCCGCTTTGAGTTGTGTGGTGCCCTAGGGGCAATGGCTGCGTCCCTGGACTTAAGTCCAATCCTGCCTCTGCTACTGCAGGCCGTGTGACAGCAGTAATTCGCAACTTCCCTATATTCCGCTCTGCCCACTTGCAAAATGGGGGGAAATGTAATACTTGAGAGCGCTGTGGTGGCAGAAACCCGGAAGAAGACGAAGTGCTCAGCAGCACCTGACAGGGATGAAGGAGGGGCTTAAGATGCGCTACCGTGTGGGCAACTCCCGCGCAGGGCCATGGAGAGCCCGGGTTCTCTGTTCCGGCCTGTATGTGGGAGGGGCTCCGCCAATCATCCCAGATTCAGGGTGGATTTGTTTATGTGGCTCTAAATCATTATCAAGTGATGAAGGTGGAGGCAGTGGCGGTCCAGGTGAGGCACTGCTGCTCCCAGAGAAGGGAAAAGAAGAAGTGTAACCACTGGGGCGGCAAAGGGTGACCTGTGTGTGGTGGGGACGCAGTGGGTTGGGGGAACTCAGCTTTTACTGTTTAAAACCCTTCAGAGACCGAGTGGGTGAAATGTGTGTGCACAGCCCTCTCCTGGGCTGTGTAACCAGAGGAAGAAGAACACACAGGCCTTTTCCTCGGTGCGAAGAACCTGCCACTAATGTTATGACAGCAGTTCCGCAGGTTCACAGCGGATCGTACTATGAAAATAGAGATGCTAAGTGAGAAGACACTGAGAGGACTGTAAAGGGAAAGGTTTTGCTCCTTAAACCAAAACCTTTAAAAAGCCAAATGTGATCAGTGCACAAATGAATGTCAAAAATTCCAGTCCAGACTTGTGGCTTTGTCCACTGCATCTCAGGAAAGGGACTGAATTCTCCAGGGATGAGTGAGCACCTTTGGAGGTGGCTGCCAACAGTCTGTTTCTCCAGTAAGGAAGACTGCAGAAATGTGATGAGGGAGCTGATAGCGTTTTGGGTCCACAGTTTGGAATGCTGAAGTCAAGTCTGGCAGCCTCCACCTTCCAGATGGGTTGCCGGGGGCGGGGCTGCCGGGAACCTGAACAGCGCAAGTGTGAGAGCGCAGTGGTGCCCGCCAGTTGTCACATGGAGGCGAAGTGCAGTGCTGAAAGTGGCTGGGGCTTCAGAACGCTTGGTATTTTCTAGTAAAGACCATGCTATGCAATAGGCAGGTATCTTACCCTTTCAGTTAAAGACAGTAAGAGCTTTTTAAAAAAAAATGACTAACGAGGTTAAAACCAGGGCCCGCATTCTCTGTGTGCCTGACAGCACAGGGAGCTGAGCAGACCTGAGCTGTGATCCCAGCCCTGCTCTTCCCTAGCTGAGCGCCCCAGGTAAGCTGGGCTTTCTCTTTAAAAAGCCTCCACTTCCTCCAGTGCAGAATGAGATGACAGTTGTAGAAGCTGCTGCCTGAGATAACAAACAGCAAGACACTGTGATAGGACGAAGGGTAATAATAAGGCAGGTCAAACACGAAAGCTCTCAGCTTACAGACAGGAAAGTTTCTTCACTGGGTTTCTTAAATAGTGGGGTAACATCCTTCACAAGTTATCCTTCGCAACTTGATCGCTAGTGCACTGTTGGTGCTGACACCATCACTGAGAGCCGAGGGCCTGCTCTGGTGCCACAGCACGTCCTGCTCACTCGGTCTGGCGAGACCCACCGCAGCAGGCACCGCCAGAGCGCAGAGACAGGCACATCCGGACGTGCACCTCAGCAACCGACGAGGACAGCCAGCGCTGTCCAGATGAGTTCATAAGATGAAAGATGTGCAGATACTTTTATGTAAGACAGTTCATTTTACTTTTAAAAATCTGAGGCAAGAAATAAGGATTTCCTGGCAAAGGAACGAAGTAAGCCTCCAAATGGAACCTCAAACAGTTCACTGGGCTAATGCCCACTTCCCCTGCATAGTCCTTAGCGAACAATTTGTCAAGCCTCAAGGGAAAGAGACGCCTTAGAAACTAAACTTCATATTTACTTTGGAGCAGAAAGCACTTTTCCTTGTATCAACCAGGAGACTTGGCAGAGGAATGTAGGGCAAGAACTCGGAACAGGATAAAACAGCAATTCCTCTGCACACCATTGCTCCACTAGAAGTCTTCCTGCACCAGTTCCTCAGACAGACCAGACCAGACCAGAGGTGTGAGCTGGGGAAGATGTCACTGTAAAGATGTGATGGCAGGAAGGGGTGCACAAGCATGAGATGCCCCCAAGCACACTTGGGAAATGGATAAAATGTTTTTCTGGTACTGAAGACCTGATGTCATGGGTACCATTACTACAGCAGAAGGTAGGGAAGCAATTTACTACATCTGTAATACAGCTTTTGGAAAAATAATAATAGAGCTATTAGGCTAGGTGGAAAAAATCAAGGAGAATATGGAGAAAAAGCCTCGTGCCTAGTACATAATTAGGTGATGTGCGACATGTGACAAGGGTGTAAAGACCCCGAGGTAGGGAGAACCCTCCAGGGGCTGGTAAACAGCGCCTGGTCTTGCTCACAGTCCACTCAGGAGTGAGACACAGGAAACCAAGGCTGAGTGGTGAGGCTGACTGACCCGGAGCGTACCATGCCTGACATGCCCTAAAACCCTAGCCATCTTGTTATAGCTGTTCCTACTCAGGTGGATGAAGACCGCACCTCATTTACTGCCAAGCTTTGAAAGACACCGATGTGATCCTACACTGGAGGCTTTAACTCTATAATAATTACAACACAGCAAATGAAGAGGCAGAGTGCCGTATCATTAAGGGTTATAGCAAGTAAGAGTGAGCATGGACCACACTTAAATACCCATCAGACCCCATGACGGTCTACAGAAGTAATGCAACTACAATTAAGATCTCAACGATTTTTTTTTAGAGATGAAATTCAAGGGAAGGTAAGAGAACTAAAGCAACTAAAACAAAATTTTATGGTAGTCATTCAGTGGTATCTGTATTCCAACATGTAGATCAAAGAAACTGAATAGAGAGTACAGTACATAATAAGCCCACACAAACATGGAAACTGGTTTGACAAATATATAAAAGCTATTCATGGAGAAAGGATAGCCTACTGATATCAAAAAACTCAACAAAAACCAACCATGTAAAACCTTACATTTTTATACAAAAATAATCCAAAGTCATAGCTCTAAATGTAATATATAAAATGATAAAAGTTTCAGAAGAAAACATAGAATCTTCAGGACCTGGGGTTAGTTTCATATAATCCACAAAAGAAAAAAATTGAGTTGGGAATAGTGGTGCATGCCTATAATCTAGCTACTCGGGAAGCTGAGGCAGGAGGGTCACAGGTTAACAACCACCCTGGTCAGCATGGCAAGTCTGTTTAAAAAAGGCTGGGGATATGTGGTACACGCACATGCCTAGCATGTGTGAGGCTCTGGGTTCAATCCCCAGTACTGTTATAAGACAAGCAGAACTTAATAAAAATTAGAAACTTTTGCTCTGTGAAAGATACAGTTAAGAGGATGAAAGACAGGCTATAACCTGGGGGCAAATATTGCAAACTACTTGTATTAGAACATACAAAGAGCCTCAAAGCTCCACAGTAAGAAAATAACTCAATTTAAAAGTAAGTGTCTGAGCAAGTTGAGCAACAGAGCTTATACCTGTAACCCCAGCAGAACAGGAAGCTGAAGCAGGAAAATTGCAAGTTGAAGCCTATCCCGGACAATTTAGCAAGTTCCTGTCTCAGAAAAGGAGGGAAGGGTCTAGGAATGCTGCTCAATGCCAAGGCCTTGGGTTCAATCCCTAGAACCACCAAAAAAAAAAAAAAAAAAAAAAAAAAAGCCAAATGACTTATGAGACATGTCACTAAAGAGGGCATGAGAGCAAATGAGCACATGATATCATCACTAGCTGTTAGGAAAAATGAGTCACCGTGGACACCACTACACATCCATCAGAATGGCTAAAATAAAGAACACTGATAACATCGGGTACTGGCAAGGACTCAGCAACTGGAGCTCTAATTCATTGCTGACCAGGATGTAAGACACTACAGCCACTCTGGAAATCTAGCAGTTTGTTAAACATAGAATCATATGATCCAGGAACTACACCTAGGTATTCACCTTAGAGAATAAACACTTACATGGGAAATGTTTATAGCTATAGTCATTTTTTTTTTTTTTTTTTTTTTTTTTTTTTTTTTTGGTTTTTCTCCGGTACCAGGAACCGAACTCACGACCTTGCGCTTGCCAGACAGGCGCTTTTGCCGCTGAGCTAAATCCCCAGCCCCTATAGCTATAGTCATAATCACCAAAAAGAGGAAACAACCTGAAGGATCCTTCAACAGATAAGGGAATACACTGGGGCGCCTCTGCACAGTGGAATACTACCCAGCAGGAGAGCACCTGTGAGCCTCACAGAGCACACTGGTGGCTACACACTGATGGGTTTGCTTGCAAGGCAGGATCCCAGAATGACATCCCAAATTTCCCTTGGCAGGCTGTCCTGGAAAATTCCAAAAGACGAGAGGGTTTCACACATATTCTTCAGTTCTCAAGGCTTCCATAAAATCTGGGAGGTAGTCCTTTTCCTCAACTACAACAATCCTGTATCTATTTACCAGCTGAAGATGTCTGTAAAGTTTCTTGTGAAAAAATTTGTATCAACAAAGTCTACACCGGTGTCATGAAGGATGCTGCTCTTCAGAAGCCCCCTCCCAGCACACGGATGGTCATCCCCCAGCAGTTACCCCAAAGGACACAATCTGCTTGAGGAACAATTTCTCCACCCAAGCTCAGCGTGACATTGGCCTGACTTCTTGCTTGGTGTCTGACCTTTCTGGAGCTCAAGTGTTTTATAGCACACATCCCTCCAGAAAATCTGGTTTTGATGCCTCTGAGCTCAGTGTTCCATGCCTATACAAATGTCTCAGAGCTTGGTCTTCTAGTCCCAGCAGTCTTGTCTCTTCCTCAGCTGGGTCCTTCACTAGGACAAGTCTGCTCTAAATGAAATGCGCTAAGGCCAGCAAACTGTGGGGGTGGGGCAGCGGCTGGGGTGTGTCACTGAGGCGTAACCCCAAGGCCTGCGTGCTGTACTATACCCCTAACCATTCTTACTTTGAGACAGTCTAAGTTGCCCAAGCAGAGTTTGAATTTACCATCCTCCTGCCCAAACTCCCAGAGTGAGTGCGGGGATCACAGGCGTGTGCCCGCACACCCAGCCAACGGGCAGCTCAGCATTCGCCTTACCCGACCCCTCAGCAGTATCTCCTCTCACAGCTCCCCAGCTTTCCCAGACCTCACTCTCCCACCTTCCCAGCACGGACCTGTGCGATGCGATGCGCAGACCCACGCCGGAACTCCTCACGCCTGTGCTGCCGCTGCTTCTTTCTCATCCGTTTCCACTCAGCTCGCTGTGATTACTCGCGCCGTCTCGGTAACCACCAGCACGCCACAGCTCTCCGTCCTTCCCTCTTCAGCCAGCCTCTCCTTCCCACCGCAGCACACGCCAGTGCTTATCTTACACCTCTGCCCAAACGATTTACTGACACCTCCACATGGCATGCTAACCGGCACATTCGGACCTCAACACGATCTCCTTCCTTCCAACTGCTCCCTCACGCGCAGCCTCTCTGAGCGGCACCAGCATTCAGTTCAGTCACAAGCCCAGAGTAAGGCCTGCCCTTCTTCCTTGACCATCAGCAGGTCCTGCTGCTTTTCCTTCCAAATCAAGTCATTCACTTCCCTCTATCAGGGGGGCGCCTGCACCCCTTAATCCACTTTCCATATAAAAGCCACAAGCTCTCTTTAATCTCAATTGCAGTTCCATAAACCTATTTGCCTAAAGTCTATCAACAGCCTTCCACTGCTCATGGGACAAAGCAAAGCCCCTAACACCAGCTTGTGAGCACCCGGCCCTCAGCTGCTCGCGGAATCCTGCCCCTACACCACGCGGTCCTCTTCGCTTCTCAGACGCGCCTTTTGCTCCGGCCGTCCAGCCTCCGCACCCACTGCTCCTGCAACACCTCTTCAGCGTCCAGGTCCTGGCTCATGCACGCCCTTCACTGGGAGCCTGCCCCGACCCTGCCAGACTGTCCTCCACTTCATACGGCCTCAGGCAGTACGTCCCTTCACAGCAGTGCTGTTTTGTTTTGTTTTTTTACAACAGTGCTGTTATAGGAAGCGCGCATGTGAGAACCAGCTACCAAAGGCACACAGTGCTGAAAGACCAAAGAAAGGAAACAAATCCAGCAATGCACAAAGTGCAATGTGTTAGGACTTCTGGAGAGAAGCTTGGTTTTGGGTGGCAGCAAAATGAGAGGACCCCCACTCCCTAAATAAGTTTGTGTCCTCAGCTAGGCATGGGTGGCCTCCAGTCAATATACCTGGCTTTCTCAAATACAAAAACAACAAAAAAGTGTGCCCACTGTTGGTTAGGAAACAGTTCAGGTGTTGGTGGCTCGCACAAAGTGCTAGGCTACCTTAACCAATCCGCCAGGGTCACCTGGCACATAAAAAAGGCAGTTAGATTCAATATAGCTGTAGTCATTTCCAGTGAGACGCATAAAATGTCAATGACCACCTACAGGATGATTCAGTGTCTGGTTCACCTGGACTGACAGGCCTCAGAGGGCAAGGATGGCAGTCTGTTGTTCTACATGGTATGTCACCTAATACACTGCAGCTATTCTAAGTGTCCATGGGATAAACATTGTCCCTGGATAAGTTGGTGGCTCCCCTGTAGTGTGTTCAGGTAGCTTGAAGAACTGCTGCATAGCTAAAGTGCTCCAAGACAATATTGTGATAAAAGATGGAGCTGAAATGTCCTAATTTGTAAGCTCAGTGGAAGACAAAGTCATTTCCACCAAGTCAAAAAGGTAGCGTTTTAAAAACAGAATCAGTCAGGCATGCTGCACACCTGTAATCCCAGTGCTCAGGAGGCTGAATCAGGAGGATTGCCACAAGTTCCAGGCCAGCTTGGGCTACCTAGTGAGTTCAACTTTGGCCTGAACTACACTGTCAGACTCTGTCTCCAAAGAAAAAAAATTTTAAAAGGAATCAAAATGAAAATGAAAAGTAAACACTTAGAACCGCTTGAGGACATCAAGGCAACCACAACAATGCAATTAAAGATACAAATGAAGACTTTCAGAACTTTCAGACAGGGGGAGGAACAATGAAATAAGTGTGTCTGAAGCAAGGAGTATGAGGGGGGTTAATGGCAATGTGCTTTTTACTGTAATACATTTTAAGTTAAAATAGGGACTCAGTTCACTTCAACATTAAAACTGTAATGTACTTAGGAAGAAATTTTTTTTTTGAGACACAGCTTCACTATGTAGTTCAAGCTAGCCTTGAACTCACAGCAGTTCTCCTGCCTCAGCCTCCAGAGTGTTGGGATCATAGGCATGTGCCACCATGCCTGCCAGAAATCTAATTTTAAAAATAACGTGATATATGAAGAAGTTATGAGACTAAATTTAAAGATATAAAAATAAACCAGGAGACAACCTATTTGTGATAGAAAGACAGTATTGTAAATATGTCAACTCTTCTCCCAGTTACTCTGTAAATACAAGTCATTCCAGGAAAGGACAAACACGGTTTTCTGTAGAAACTAACATGCATTCTAAAATCCAGAGTAAATGGCCAAAAATAGCAAAAAGCAATTATGAAGAATAAAGGGTATATGTCTTATGTGTGTGCTAGAAGTAGGGAGGATACTTACCATAACAGATTCATGATTCTAGGCCATTTGTCTGTGGAACTGGGTGAGTGACAAATCTCATTTCAAACAAATAAGGAAAGGATAACTGGTATTGTCAATATATATCCCAAAGCAGGCCACAGAAAGCAGAATTGCTCTTCCCCAAGGTGGGTTATAGAAAGTAATATTCCCCTACCTTTCTGTTTTGGAGCTGGCCATAAAGAAATTCATCTATCTACCTTGGGTGATTTTTTTTGTGGGGGTACTGGGAATTGAACTCAGAGCCTTGTGCTTGCCAGGCAGGCGCTGCACTATTCAGTTCCATCCCTGCCTGATAGATCTTGGCTTTTTTTTGTTATTTTTTTTTCCCAGTACCAGGAATCGAACTCACAACCTTGTGCTTGCCAGGCAGGTGCTGTGCCACTAAGCTAACTCCCCAGCCCACTGCCTGACAGATCATAAGAAAGGAAAGTATGCTGCACAGCAAGACCAAGAAGAGTGCTGATCAGTGCTTTCAAACTGTCCTCACTCGGTCTATTGGCATAGATCACCTCATTTTATTCCGTTACATTTCTGCACAGCTGCCCATGCTTCAGTTATGCTTCTACAACAAGTCTCCACAAAACTGTGAAAGAGCAGGGCTTGGAGAGCTTTAGATAGATGCCCAGAGAGGGCATGGACATTCTACACTCCTTCCCCTGTATGTCACTTTCTGCCTCTTCATCAGGAACCTTTGTAATGTCCTTTATAATAAGCCAGTAAACATATTTTCCTCAGTACTGTGTGCCACTCAAGAAAATTAGTGGAACCCAAGGAGGGTGTGTGGAATATCAATATACAGCCAGTAGGGCAGAAGCACAAGTAAAACAAGGTAAGGTTTGCAGCTGGCATCTGCGGAACTGAGCTCCTAATCTGCAGGATCTGATGCCATCTCCCACCAGGCAGTATTAGAACCCAACCAGAAGGCACACGGCCGGCGTCTGCGCTGCTGCAGAGCTGACGGCTCACTCGAGCATGCAGTGAGCCTCCGCACACCTGGTGTCAGGAGTGATCTGTGTTGTGGTGCTTTAGTAGGAGACACTGAGTTGGGGTCTGTTTTTTTCTACTCAGTGACACAATGAAGGGTTAGAAC